CGAATGGTATTTGCGCTCGCCGTGCTGTACTGCGCCCATTTTCATGTGAACGCGTCTATACAAGACTATAAAGACGGTTGCCGCGTCAAAACCGTGCATATAGTGGATAAGGACGGCTGACACGCGGTCACGGCACGGTCGTCGTGCAATATGAAAGCTCTCATTGTTGCTCATACATTACTATTTTACACGGCACGGCAACCGTGCCATGTCCGTGTACATGTGAAAAGGCACTTACCGTTCGGCTATTTGTCTCTAGCAGAGTTACAAAATTACGGATACCTTGTGTCAAATACTGTCACTTTTTCGTTTCATCTAGTTTCAAATCACAACGGAGCTAAAGAAGTTTTCACTTCAAAAACGTTATTATGTATTCTATTTTTAGTAAGTCAATTCTGGCATGATTCTCTAAACTTAAAACTAATTGAATTTCGGTCTCTCCTTTTCATTCTGTATAAAGAATTACAAGGATACACTATTGTCAAATTAAAATTTAGGGTAAAAGAATCATGTCAGAAGCGACACCAATATTAATTTATTGAAATTATAAAATAAAAACGATTTCCAACCAATTTATTTGTATATAAATATTCAGTTATTTTTAATCAATTCTTAGACTGTAACATCGCTTGCCTGCTAATAACGCCATCGTATATGATAATAAATAATACCGTTGTAAAATTAAGACAATCATTCAATTCCTAACATGACATAACTTAAATAAAACTAGTTTTTACGGGTTAATGCACGAAACTTTATTTATTTATTGACGTTTCGTAGCCTTTACAGGCTACGTCGTCAGAATAAAACTTTTATTCAATTTGTTTGTGAAAACCTAAGAAACAAATATGACATAACTTAACAAAATATTAAATATCACTACATTTTTTAAACTTTTTCTTTCTCCCATTGTCATGACCATCCAAAATATTTCAGGGGCAGGGCTTGAAACCGGTTTCAAAAATACCGGTAAATAAAGGTTAATACCGGTTTTTAGTAAAGGTTTCGTTCGGAGCGCGTCCGAAATGAAAGAGGTACCTAAAACCTTAATAAACCGGTTCAATCCAGAGCGACACGTGCACGCGTCGGCATCGCTTGAAGTTTGTTTTGTTTGAACTATCAAGTCACAACTTGTTAATACTCAGAGATTGATGCATTTATTGACACGTTTGCTAGCGTCTAGTGAGTCAAGTTATTCATTTTGTAGTTGTATATTTAATTCAGCCGTCAGTAAGAGCGAAATGAAACCCGTTAAAAACCGCTAAATTGATTCAAAACATTTTGGTTTCGTTTTTTTTAAAACCCGGTTTTTTAAGGTTAAGGTAAACCTAAATAAAACGCTCCTAATGTACTTGACACTGATTTAGATTTGAAAATTAACCGGTAAACAAGCCCTGTTCAGGGGACTCCCTAGAGCTTTACTAGTATTCCTGTCTGATTTGCTAAATTCGCTGGAAAAATACAAGTTTCTGGTATTGAAGCAGGATCAAAGTGTATTGTTTTGTTTTATTAAAATCAGTTTATAGGGATTAGAAATATTAATAAACCACTTTTGCATTTTCATGACAATAGGCTAGTTTACTCATGTCGAATTGTATTAAATAAATGTTTATTTCTTAAAGTGTTTAGTCTAAGGAACCTTAATATATCGATTTCACTTCATAAAAGCAGAAGATTGCTGTAGAAATTTAATTTTAAAAAATATTTTTTAGTCTATATTTTTTAAACACTAAAAACGCTGTTCGCCACATTCGCCATGATTTTGACGTCTCTTGTGGTAAACAACTAAATGTCATTCGCGTGTTACTGTAGGTGGATTCTTTCGTCTGACTAAATTTATCTTAAAACACTTTTAACTTTAGGAAAGAAAAAAACAGTAAACTTAGTTTTTTTTGACTAAACAAATTATGGATGCCGGCTTTGTGAAAGCAGAAAGCACAAATCTGCGAAGAATTGACGCATTGATGGTTGTTGAATTTGTTGCACTAAACCCCGATTTCTGCTCTGCGGAGCAGAGAAACGACAATGCATCTATGTAAGTACAGTGCCTTTAATATTACAATGTAGTAATAAACATAAAACTGATACAACATATGAATAAGTGTAATAAAGTTGCGTAGGTTAATTTCTTTCGGCACTTTAATCCACAACTTTCCTGGAGTCTTCAAGGATGTGTTTTTATATTCTCGTACAATACAGTAATGATAATTACTTTATTTTTCGTGGTATTTATTAGAAATCATGTTTTTTTTTATTATAAACTCAGTTAAAAGTAATTTTCTACGTGTTTACGAGTTTTTGTTTACCACAGTTCACGTCATAGCATAGACAATCTAGAGACTAAAATGGCCGACAGCGTTTTTGTATGTCCATGAAAAGTCTATTTTAAAATTAAAGATTTGTAGCTTTCTAGGTTTAAAAAAAATACAATACATTTTTTTTCGGTCTCATAGAACATTTATTAACCATTTAAAACCTTTTTCCAAAAAGGGTCAACTAGCCTATTCCATAAAAAATCCGTATGCTCTTCTTATATATTTAAGTGTTAAAATTCCCAATGGATACGGACAAATCCGTTTAAATGGCACCACTGCCGCGTGCATATTTGCTAAGGATTGTCTCCGCGAGCGAGTGGCGCGAGTAAATCGCCCGTCGTACTAGCACACTCGCTTCCCGCTGTTCGCCAACTCGTTTCTAGTTTCTAGTTCTACTCGCTTTTCGGTCTACGTCGGCGGTGGAACAAGTGCCTATAAAGCATTGTACTTAATACATACCGACAGACTGCATAACTTACTAACCTTTATTGTAATTTAAAGCGACTTTGTTAATATTGCGTTTGCGACAGCAATTTTGTTTTGTGTACCTGCTTTGCGATATTTTTACTATTTATGTATTTAACTATGAACAGCTGAAATATTTAGTTTTTATTTTCTCTGAGTTAATATTTTTGTTTTTGTATTACAAAAAAGGCTAATGAGCAGAGCTAAAGCCATTTTAATTATACAATGGGTGATCTTGATAAGTTGCAAAGCAAACGTTTGTGAATCGTGCTAGCCCATTATTAACAAAATCCAGCGTAAGTACTTTTTTTACATAACCTCCCATTTTGCTTCGAACTTGACGATTCTATGACTATTATTTTCAAGAAGAAAATATCGGATAGTTAGTTAATCTTTACTATTTTCATTTTTTATGTAATCAGTACGTCGAGTCTGTAACATGCAATCTTACTATCGAAAGTCTATAATTCAAAGTTTTTCCATTTTTTTTATGTGTATTAATTACTCGCTGCTTCAGCAGTCATAACGGCATTTTGCCGTGTAACAATTTAATACATATTAAACTAATGTCTAAAATTTGAAATGATGTCATAAATTACGACATTATTGCACCTGTAAGGCTATTATGACCAATATGACTATGTTAATAATAAAATACTGTTGATCTTCAATCAATGGTTCCATTTATATATTACTTTAATGGGCATAAATATATATAGGTGGAGGTGAAATTTTCTTTTTCTAAGGCATTCCGTACCCAAATGATATAAACGGAACCCTGCTGTCAGTGCCGTCTGTCTGTCCAAATGTCACGGGTCTCTAGATTATAAATAATATGAGTTACAGAACTAATATTTTGGTATATTATGTAGAATGCTTGCACAAAGCTGAATATTTAGTAAAAAAGTAAATTAACTAATTTTTCAGAATAAAAATCGCTTCATGTTCTTCTTTTTACCCTAGCACGGGCCACATCATTATCTAGAACTTATTAAGTAATATATAAATATATTTTTTATTATTTATTTTTAAGTATGTATAATAATGCATCGCGTCTATTTTAATACACATAATATTCGGTTACCAACCAAAAGAACCAAAAGTAATTCGCGCTTGTGCTTTAAAGAATTCGATAACTGCAACTCTATTATCAAATAGGCAGGTTGCTGTTCTCAGTCGAGAGAATGGAAAACGTACGTGTCAAACCGGACCATGAGTCACGCTTGCCTACCTACGTGGTGCGGCCGTCCTCGACTTTTTTTTAACCAAAGTTAGAGGTGTGGTTGTATATGTGTGTGTGTGTGTGCAATTAAATGATTAGGTTTCTGGGTGTTATGCCGACACTTTACTTGGCTATTCGTATTTGCTGTTTGCCATTTTGACAACAGGCTGTTCTCATCATACTCTACAGGGAGTGAAAAGGAGAGACTGTTGTCAAGTTTACAAATACGAATAGCTAACTAAAGCGCCGGCATTACGCGCAACGACCCGGCTATTCCAAATTATTGAATACAATTGCCACAATTCTGAAACTATTAAACTGTCAGTTTTATAATTGCAAATGTGAATTGTTTTGAAAACCAAAATGATTTTCTAAATTGTATGTCTATTCAAAATGTCAGCTGTGCGATGTTTATTTATAAGTATAGTATTATATTATGAATTTTACTATTGACTACTAATAACTTATTATGCCTGAATAGCGAACCTGATTGATTTGACTTTAATTTCATAATATAGGTAGCTCTTCCTTTTAACAAGACTGGATGTAAATATGCTATTATGATCACAAAGCCTGATTTAAAATAAAAAGGATCGGTGAGTAGTATTCTTTCACCGTCTCCGATTTACCCACTTATACTGCTTTATTTATAACTCGACTAAGATACGTCTTGTCCTGAAAAGCAACGATGGATATGCAATTTTCTCTTTACTTACACACTGTAAATGTCAAAAACTTAGCAAATAGGCCGGCAGGTCTGGAAAATGGTGATCCCTCATTATGATAGCACTATTGAATCTAGGTTTGTGGTAATAGGTAATCTATAAATAATTGTTAGGATGGTATCATGGGAATACTTAGGGAGAATGGCTGCACGCGAGGAGCTCTCCTGGCGATAGTTGCCTACCGCAATTTAGCAAGAACTTGGTTGCTAACTTTTTGATTTAATTATTAATTACCCAATTGCCGAAGTAATAAAGTGCTTTTTCACTTTTCAGTTAATGTTGGAGGCTCCTGTGAATCCTAGTGCTACGCCGACGTCTTTCGAAGTAATTAAAGGTAAACCAATAATACCTCTAACATAAAGTTATACGCAGTTAGCATTCACCAATTCAAATGTAGCAATTTACATCTCATCACATATACTTATTGAGATCACGATTACATTCTAGCATGCGGTAATATTTGAAACAATTTTTCTTTTTGTTTTTTTTTTTAAATGTTTTTGGTAACCATTACGGCATTATAGAAACTTTCAATGTCAATCATTTCTATAGCGCTGATCTGATAGCTTTTTGTCATGTTTTTGTATACGTATTGTCAATTTAGTCAGTTGAATAAAGATATCAAATATCACTAATGATAGTTATCGCGTAAGTGAATTAGATATTTATGAGTTTAGTCAATAATGAAAAAAGGAATTAGTCAATAATTAAACAATGTCGACAGAACGTTTAAGACAGAATAAAAGTTATTATAGTTTAAATAATATGCATTAATATAATTTGCTTACTATTAAAACTGAAAAAAATACAGTGATATGTAATTTTGATTACACTTCTGCCATTGATCAATACGGGGTAAAATATAAAAAACGAAATGTTACCTATAAATTTTTAAACATCGTATAACTAAAAATAAAAGACTGTTAGGTTTTGCATTTAACTGATAAGCCCCTCTAGTATGACTACCGAAACGGGATATTATAAAGCGATATATCGGCATTAACTGTCAGACTACAGTGGAATTTGACAGTTCAGACTCTATAAAAAGCTTTATCATATCCCGTTTCATGCTAGAGGGGAAGGATTACTGATCTTCATTATTTTGGTAAAGATAAAGTTAGACATAGCTTAGAAGACACAGATAGCATACGCATACTAGCTTGCTTTTACAGCTAGTCATGTGAAGTGAAGTAGCAGGTACAAAAAGTTAGATACAAACCCTGCTTACTTACCACGTCACTCCTTAAATATGTAAGTACAATAATTATGTTTCTGTAAGGGCTATTTTAAGACACTTTGAATACAACCAGACCGGGCCGCCCGGTAGGTAGATACCTCGGAGGCATGATAAAAAATCAATTTAGTTGTGAGCGCGAATGCATTACCCTACACTCTCTACCTACACATTTCTTTTGGGCCCGTTATTTGATATTTGTAGTTATTTTATCTAGAATGCTTGCCCTAAGCCAAATATTTAGTTAAAAATTCAATTCAATTATTATCCATTCCTACACATGAAAAGGATTATTTTCTTCTTTACCCCAGCATGCGACACATAGTTGTTTAGAGCTCGTTGAGTAGGATATAAAAATATTTTTATTGCTTTTTATTTTCAATAACAAAGAAATGGAGAGGCCGTCAAGTTGTAAGTTGTAGACCATTTTAGGGGTTCTATCTCAAAATCATTTGCCAGTTTTTTTGTACTTTTATCAAAATTTATCGTATTCTGTTTAGACACGTTAAAATACAATGTAAAACAATGTACAAATTCTTCTACATTATTCAATGTAGAACTTTGCCGATTCTGGGGGACTAGCTACAAATATAAGGTAGTAATTACAGGGTACTTACTATAGTAAGCATTATTAGTTGCTATTATTAGCTAGACCACTAGGTCTAGCTAATACTACACTAGTAGTTTTAAGCAACCATTAGTATAACCCAACTGAACTAAATATTTTTATTAGTCCCAGAGTTTAAATATTTTAAGTTGAACAATCTAAAAACCTTGCGTTTTCCTTCTTTAGTTATCTAAATCCAATTCGTTTACTCTTCGAAATCAAAATTGCTTTAGTTTAGTGGTGTCTATTTAAGGCACAACCATAAGCGTTTTAAAAATAACTGTTTACTCCCAAGCAGGCAGTGCATACACCATTGATCGTAGTATGATGATTGCTATTTGCCAACAACAATATACCTAATTATGTCCACTTCACAACGACGTCTTTAACATAACTTAACGATTTAGGTAACATTAAATTTGATTTTGCAACATTCGCTATTAGTAAATTTGTTCAGAGAAGGTTTCTTGTGAGTCGTTTGCCTAAAGTGTAACTTGATTTGCTTGTCTGCTAAAGTCAACAAAGAATACGACTTCGGCACTCCCGCTACGTAACCGCCGCCGGCACTTAAGTGCTTTCTCATACCCCAAACAAATTAGAACACGTATCGAATTGCCTATTCACTTGACTTTACTGTATTTTGCCGCAAAAATTACTAGCGGTTGCCCGTGACTTCATTCATCTGTCTTTGTCAACTTTAAATAAAAGTTTAACAACGGAAATCTATCTGAGGACTCTCATAGATTTTAGTTTAATAAAAATGCTTATGCAATTTATAATACATATTTGTAGTATTTCCATACGTAGGAACAGCTACCTATAGCTGTTGTAACTTGGAAAACGGCCGTGACTATGAATATTTTAGGGTGAACTAGACAAGACTACAGCAAATATGCAAACTCGCCATGGTTATGCCATTAGCAGCAGCTGATATTAATGCAGTATGCATGCATAATTACTTATATATCTACTTGATTTTATTCAAAGCTTAAAAACAATTTAAAGTAGGATTAAATAATAAAATATATACCTTTTGAGAATGAAATCGTCAATAGTGAATGATTTATCGTTCGTTTGTGTCGAACAATCTCGTGTCAAACCCTCAGGTCCCATTGACCTAAAAATTTCACAGGATCTAAAAACTGTTTCATGTTTTAAACAAACCCTTACCTTAGTTCAAGTAGGTCATAAATATTTAATTTCTAAACAAATGGTAAAAGACGATGATATTCGTTATAATTTCTTATAAGTATATAAAATTCAATCGAACCGTCTACATTATTTAATTTTTTATCGTTTACGCTCTTTAGCGATTTCGTTTTAGTAGCATGTGCCAGAGTAGCGTGCGGTGTGCATGTCAGCCGACCATACGCTACATGCTATGTTAGTAGACCATAACAAAGTTGCAACAGTAGACTTCTGAAATGTGCGACCTCTTTGATATTTTATTTAGTACCTGCACAAAACGAAACAAAATTGCTGTAGTTAATCCATCCAACTATCGACCCGTTCTTTATAAACATCGAGTTATAAAATAAATTTGTCGTTAGTTCATTGCATGTCAAAATAAAATTATGAATTTAATTGTCTTTGATAAGTTTTTAAAAAGAAGGTAAAATTAAGAAATTAATTTTAAGGAATTATACTATTGGAAAACCTGTAACTTACGATCATCAGGGTTTTGTGTCGTTGAACTGAAGTAAATAAAATCATAATGTTAGCTGTAAGAGACCTACTGTTCAGTTTCACGTGTAGTATGACGAACGCAGTCGGCCTTCATGCTTAGTGGGCGGATGACCGCCGAGCGCGCGTATCACGCCGACTTTCACCTACGATCGCGGTTTCATCAAAACATACACAAACATTACTCGCTTCAACATCCCTTGCAGATTACCGTCTGATCACTGTGCCGTCTCGTGTGAAGTGTCTTGTGAAGTCCAATCATTAATACTACATAAATTGCAACAGTAATACATGCATGTCTCCATGATATTGATGCATCAGAATAGCTAAAACCGGTGTTAACTCTTCTAATTATCTTTAAAAATGAAGAAAAGTGGGTTGTGGTGAAATCTCTCACATTGCCATCAAATAAAAATTTAAAGCACTAGTAGGTTTTGTTTCCGATTTCAGTGTCATACCTATAAATTAACAAAATCAGAAAATAAAATTTTCTTCACAAGTAAGACATTAAACATAATGCAGTATTTTACTATTTAGTCAGTCTAGACTGTCTTTCCAAATCCCCAACCCAATTGGTCAAGTAATAACAGCATGTAGCAGTTTTCCCCAATCTAGTGCGTAAAATCCCTGATTGAAAATCGGATTGGAAAGCTTTAAGCGGTATCCACATGGTATGGTTAGAAGTTGGTGATGTGCGAAGCTGATGCCGTGACTGCGCGTGTCTGGTGCAGAGTGGAGCGCGCAGAGAGCAGTGGCGACGCGAAGGCAGTGCTATATGGCACACCCCGTGTCACACCATGAAAGTGGACGCCGATGCGAGGGAAGTGCCCGCCGTCACCGTCGCCCCCGTCGTCACTCCGGGAACGCCGATCTCTAGTAATACAGAATCACCTGTGTCATCCCTCGACGGTTTGTTGGACCGACACTAACGCACACTAACAATATTAACACTAGGTTTTCGACGCCTGCCTGGAATATCCTAATCCCGCACTCGCCTGCTTTTAGCATGACTTACTGCTTGTTCACTGTTTTGTTACTTATACTTTTATTTACTTAAAATAAAATATCGTAGCGTTAATTACATTTATTTAATAGGTTTAATAGGAAGGCGTTTAAATAAAATTCGTCTTATGTCTGCTCCGTGAACTAAATTACGTACTAAAGGCGTTTAAGATGGGAGGCGCGCTATGTTTTGTCCATACAAACGTTCTCGACTGATTCCTCCTTGATTTTATCACTAAAGAATTAATTTTCATACCTTTAATTTAATTTACTCATTCTATGTTCCTATATCTTCCTTTGTTTTAATAACTTGTGTTTCAAAGAAAGTACCCTAACCCTCGAAATAGTCCAAAAATAAACAATTTTTTATCACCACTAAAGACGTCTAGTGTGATAAGCATATACAAAAAAAATCAAAACATAGATCAATAGTATAACTACTTATTATTCGTTTTGTAATCTTTTTTTTACATATATCTAATTTTCAAGGAGGAAATCGTCGAGAGCCAAACCTCGAATTTTTCAATTTTATAGGCAATTTTACCTATACCTATACCTATTTCTCAAAAGTGTCTCAGCTCGCGTCCGCACTTAATAGGCTAGTTGACCCTTTTTGGAAAAAGGTTTTAAATGGTTAATAAATGTTCTATTAGACCGAAAAAAAAATGTATTGTATTTTTTTGAGACGTAAAAAGCTACAAATCTTTAATTTTAAAATAGATTTTTCATGGACATACAAAAACGCTGTCAGCCATTTTAGTCTATAGATTATCTATGCTTTGACGTTAACTCACTCTCTTCAAAAACTCTTATGCACGTAGAAAATAACTTAACTGACTTTATAATAAAAAAAACATGATTTCTAATAAATACCACGAAAAATAAAGTAATTATCATTATTGTATTGTACGAGAATATAAAAACACATCCTTGAAGACTCCAGGAAAGTTGTGGATTAAAGTGCCGAAAGAAAATAACCTACGCAACTTTATTACACTTATTCATATGTTGTATCAGTTATATGTTTATTACTACATTGTAATACTAAATACACTGTACTTACATAGATGCCTTGTCGTTTCTCTGCTCCGCAGAGCAGAAATCGGGGTTTAGTGCAATAAATTCACCAACCATCAATGCGTCAATTCTTGGCAGATTTGTGCTTTCTGTTTTCACAAAGCCGGCATCCATAATTAGTTTTTTTCAAAAAAAAAAACAGTAAACGGAAACTTTTCTAAAGTTAAAAGTGTTTTAAGATAAATTTAGTCAGACGAAAGAATCCACCCACAGTAACACGCGAATGACATTTAGTTGTTTACTATAAGAGACGTCACAATCATGGCGGATGTGGCGAACAGCGTTTTTAGTGTTTAAAAAATATAGACTAAAAAATATTTTTTAAAATTAAATTTCTACAGCAATCTTCTGCTTTTATGAAGTGAAATCGATATATTTAGGTTCCTTAGACCAAATACTTTAAGAAATAAACATTTATTTAATACAATTCGACATGAGTCAACTAGCCTATTGTAATGAAACTTAGCTGACCAATAAAGGAAGGAATTTTAGGCCTTAGTTGTGTTTTGGTTGTAGTTTAATAAAAAGTAATCGGTAGAATTATAAATGTACAGTTAATAACTTGGTACAGTTTTTAACTTATTAAATCTTTTCTATTTGAACCATGATCAAGTTATAGGTTTAAACTTAAGTTAAGAAAGTTGTAAGGATGGAAAGTTTTCTTGAGACGTGTTTAATTTGTTGAGAAAATTGTTCGGTACTTAATTTTCTTTATGATTTACATAGACTTCTCGTCTATTTTATTTAATTTATTAGTTCTCTTCTGGATTTCATTTGAATTTAAACCATTCGGGTTTTGATATAATTTGCGTCAGAGAAGTGAGATAGTGTTTTAATTAATCCATATTATTTTGTTGTTGATCATAATTAAGTATTGATAGCTGTTACTCCTATCCCTTTTTATTATATATGTAATACACTTTAGGAGAATAGTCTCGCTCTCATGCAGAATGAAACTTTGAACGGTTTTTTTTTTATATATAGAGTACTGTGTAATAACAGCTAACAAAGACAAAGTAAAGATACATTTAGGCAAGTGTAATTGTTGCGTAATAAGCTCAACTTTTAAATATCATTTCTATGAGTTCAATGATCTTCAATGTTCAATGACGACCTCCGTGGCCGAGTGGTTTGTTTGACATCTTGAAACCCGGCGGTTTCAAGGTGTTGCCTACTCGAGAGGTCCCGGGTTCCAATCCCGGTGGGGGCAGATGTTTGTGTGATGAATACGAGCATTTGAACTCCAGTCATGGATGTTTAATATGTATTTCTATATAAATATACTTATATATGTACAGTATATGTATTCTATCCGTTACCTTAGTATCCCATAACACAAGCCTTACAGTGCTTACTTTGGGGCTAGGCTAATTGGTGTGTGTTGTGAAAAATAAAATAAAAAACAAAATCTTCGTAAAATTATGATATTGCAAAGTTTAACAATCGGAATAATTAATAAACGGAAATTGTTCCTTTTTTATACATTGTGCGTACTATAAACAAACATTTAAAAAAAAGCATTGATACCTATATGGTGCACAGTTTTGTAATCAAATCAAGTTATTGTAACTTTTGATCCGAACATTCCTGTAGAATTTTAAAGTTTTAAAGGAGATTGCTCAGCTTCCATACATGTTTGGCCTAAAGACCAATAATCATGAAAAATTGTTTCCTAGATTTGAAATTATATATAAATTACTGTAGAAACGAATATTATTGACGGACACCCCTGAGAACTTCTATAAACCATATAAACTGAATGATTTTGAGGTTGTTTGCAAATAGGTACATAGGTATTAAAATAATAAAAAACAAATAAGTAACGAAATTATGTATTAGATTCAGGTATATAAAGCATGTAGATTAATAGATAGTTGCCTGTTTTTAAAGTTAATGCAAAAGAGTAACTTTTAAAATCAGGTATCATCTATGCATTTCCGGTTATAATAAGGTAATCTATGACAGAAAATGTGTGTTATTTGTGAATGAGCTACAGATTAGAGAGAATTTTTAAACTCTCGTTAACTAAAAAAAGCTTATTACTTTTGTTATGTTTATATTATAACCATATTTTAGATTTTTAATGTCTCATACCTTATAATGTGTTTATGGAGGTGTTTGGCGAAAAATGTATGGCAATAGACTTTATGATGTCGCCTTCCATCTATAATATTTGTCTTAGCACATTCGCATGTAGTAAAAATGATAATATACTTGTGGATATTAATACCACAGTGTAATAAAAAAAAGGATTTATTTTATCGATCTTTACATAATAGATTTGTTTTGATGTTATATAAACAACTTCGATCACTCTTTGGCTGAATGTTACTACACCCATAGCCATTAAAAATGATTCGTATGTTTTCCAAACCGGTAAAAATATAAGTCCTTTTTAAAATGAATATATTATACAAAGGTGTCCGTTAAAATCTAATGACTGTAAAATAAAGTATAAATTACGCCAAGAATTACCGTATATGTCAATATTTTTTGTACATTTGGGCCAATTTGAGCAATCTCCTTTGTTTATTAAATTATAAATACCGTAGCAACGAGAGAAGTTCCTTATAAAATTTCAGATCTGCAATATAATAGTATCTTATAAATAAATGTTGCTTTTAGATGTTGGTTCAGACGTCAGATTTTTCTATTTACCAGTGAAACCAACGTTTTCTTGATTTTAGCGTTTATCTGGATTAATAGCAAAAAGCTATCAGGGACTTTATCAACAAGTAGTCTCGACATAACTACATTCAATGCGTTTGACATTTACATAAAAATAATACATATTACATTTTTTTAATAACATGAATTTTAAAGATAAATATAATTTAATGGGTTTAATCAAAGTTTTTGTTATTACAGTTACAGTCACTTCATTGTTTTAGTCATTCTACTCAACACAACAATATTTGTAAATATAAAAGCATTTATAAAGTGCTTATTTATTTCCTATTTATTTTTGCTTTAACTTGTTTGAATATTTTATGTTTGACAATATCATAATAAAATAAATTTAACTTTCATATTGAAACGCGAGGAGAATATGGTTATAAAAAAAAGATTACTTGAAAATCATGTTATACAAAAAAACCGCGTAAAATTATCCTGTTAAAAGTACCCATACAAGGTAGGTGCTTATTATTATAGTAAGCTCTGACTATTTAAAACAGCCTTGTCTAATAACAATGGTAACAATTAACAAAGAATTTTAAATTGTCGATCAGTTACAAGAAGTACTATAAGTGATGTGTTAGGTGTGCTGTGTCATAAGCAAAACCTTACCTGCCCTAAGGGCTCCCACACAAAACTGCGATGCGATGCGATACGACGTCGCATCGCAGGAACTTGCGATATGAATTGCTGCGATACGATTTCTTGGGACAAAGCTTTGATTAAGGTGACCATACCGTCAACGGTAGTCAGCCTTATTGGAGCCCTGTTTTAGTAATTGAAGAGCTTTTGAGTTTTTTATCACCATATCATTAAAAACAATCGCTGTCTCAGAGCGGACTAAAATGGCGTCACCAAGTGTGACGTTATATGGCAGGAATGCCCGATGCGAATCAGATCGGCAGTTTTTGCGGTGCATTTGTGCAAGCTCACATATATGTGCGATGCGATGCGAATTCGCAGTTATGTGTGGGAGCACTAAGAGCATGACCACCGACGTTATAATAATATGATACTGAGATTTGATTTGTAAGTCGTCGGAATTTTTGATGTCGATTTATCTCTACACTAATTATATTATATCGCGTTGGGGTGTCTTGTTATTAGGCGACTTACTACTAAATTATAATTCGAGTCAATATGCAATCATCCATTTTGACTTGTATATATAATCATAGTGATGGTAGTAAAATAGGGATAATCCTATTTACATACATGACGTCATAAAATTATGTTATCCTGTACCTTGCGACATACCAAACACGACTCATTAAAACCCGCACCGAAACTTGCTACTCACACTACTAAATCACGTCTTTCATGAATATGTCAGAAGTCATTAGCCATACTCGTACACATGAAAATAGAATTCTATTAGTGTTATATTAACCTCGTACAATAATAATAATGTAGACATGTGTGCAGATTGCAGAGTGCAAGACAGCGACACTATACCGACGCCCGACCGGGCTTTACTCGCCAAACTGGAAGAAGAAAATCGGAGAATCGAAGCGGACGCAAAATGCCCGTCCCTCACTACCGTGCACAGTCGCAAGAATTCCGACACTTCCCAAATTTCAATCGCTTCCGGTAAGTTTTTTAAGAGTGTTTCTAATTTTCTATTCTATCTAAGAATTTGATAATATCAACCTTTGTGCACTTTCAAACTCGAAATCATTTATGGCTGCGCAGAAGAGGGACTTTTTATATGTGGAGGACTGAACTCCCTGAATCATAAAAATATGGCCGCGGAGGATTTACCGCGGACGAGACTCAAAAACTAACTGTAGCGTGAGTGAAATCTAGTAATCTATACATAGTGGCGTAAATGTAATCACTATTAAAAGATGTTATAAGCTAAGTAATCACCATTGCAAGATGTAATAAGTTTGGCTTAAACTTGGCTAAGATAAATTAAACTGAAGCCAAAAAAAGTGTTTCATATTTTTTGAAATTCGATCTCTACGATGAGAAATAAGAATAACAAGTTATCTATAAAATATATTCAGCAAATATGCTCTAATGTGTTATTACTAGCTGTGCCCCGCGTAGTAACAGTTCCCCTGGGAATTCAGGGATAAAAATAATTTGTTATTAATTAAATACTCTTAAAGCCTAACTTTATAATTTGACATGTGAATGACAACAGGGCATAATGTTGGAGCATTCTTTAGTTTACTGAATATATATGTCTTCTACAACTATACTTCTATTTCATTCTATACTAGCTGTACCACGTGGTTCATTAGGTATATTTTCCCGCAGTCAAACGTAGTCTATGTGTTAAATCAGGGTGTCAGCTAACTCCATACCAAATTTTATTAAAATCGCTTAAGCGGTTTAGACTTGAAGAAGTAACAAACATACACACTCACAAACTTTCGCATTTATAATATTAGTGTGATTATTTATAATTTATACTATTATACGAGTATTTAAAGAGAGAAAAGGATACACTAACTGACTCATCTTGATCCATTTAAAAAAAACATTAAGTTTAAAGGATAACAATAAAACAACTTTTTTCCCAACAATTCAACGGGAATAAGACTACGAGTCTGCAATCCTGTTTCTTAAACCACTTAACTGATTTTAAATACGAAATCTTCAATGTTTGAAATTGGAGAACAATAAGTACAACTTTTGTTCTATTAATTCTACGAACACGGGATCTCCAGGGGTAAAATTCTGTTTTTGAACCACTTGATTTCGAAACCATTTTTACCAAATCGTACCTACGTATATACCTATTATTTCGGGATGCTCTATTGTGTCTACTTAAAACAATACTCCCGTGCGTAGCCGGGACGAGTTAATATTTCTTCTATAAACTTCTTCTGATATGTAAAGAGGGAAATGGCCATATTGATTGATTGGCTGGTTGACTCATAACCCAAAGCCAAACCGCTGAACCTAAATTAATAAGATTTAAACAGTCCTTTTTATTGTCCAGAAATAATTTTAGACACACTAAGATAGTATTTTTGGAAATTCACTACTGATAGACAGACCGATCTGTCAAGTGATCTTTCAAAGAGTCAAAAAGTCTGTCAGTTTGTTGTGATTAGTCAAAGTCGTCGTATGTCGTGACTTGACTGCGAGGCTTCCAAAAGGCAATGGAAAAAAATAACATAAGAAACTCATTCCAGCTACTTTCAAAATCTGTATTTATTTATTAATGTTCTTTTTTCGGATGCTGATTCATTAAGTTTCCAATGTATTTAATACACCCGTGTAAAACCGGGACGGGCTGCTAGTTTTATAATAAATCAGCAGAACTAAGTTTACTCGCCAATGCTGTAATGTGAGGGTTCCATAAAAAAATCCTAAAAAATTGTAGTAAAGGAAATTTGTCGGGATCCAAAAAAAGAACATTGATAAATAAATACAGATTTTGAAAGTAGCCAAACTGAGTTTCTTATGTTATTTTTTACCATTGCCTTTTGGAAGCCCCGCAGTCACGTCACGACATACGACGACTTTGACTAATCACAACAGACTGACAGACCATTTGGGTTTAAATGTTTAGAACTAGCATTTGCGGCTATAGATGCTTTGATCGAACTGTCAACCAGTTTGTTCTTAAAGATGACATACATCGAATACCAACGAAAACTTTGCGAAAACTATTGTAAATAAAAATTAAATATACAATTGTTTAGAAGACTGAATTATGTTGAATGGATCTGTTTTTATATTCGTGGTTTCTCATCTGCAATCTTAAATAATGAAGAAATTATGTTGCACAATTTTCATTACCGTACTACACAATCATACTTTCGAAAAACACAGCTTACTCACCTGGTTGAAGATTGCGAGTGAACATTGTTTATCTCTTATCTATCAGTGACAGCGATAACTGTTTTAAACTGTGTTCATTATTTTGTTATAACATGAGTTTAGTGAGTGCAAAATGGATGAAAATGATCCATTCTACACAAAAAACGTGTTGGAGTTCTATTTCTCTATGATATTGGAGAATTTCACACAGCGTATGTACTTAGTATTTTATTATTTGTTTCGATAGGTAATTGTTATTCTTAAACAATCCACGAAGGACGAAGTGAATTGATAACTTCTGAATCTACTCGTACGATTGATTATATTGTTAAACTAGACTTACCTTATATTATATATATTTAAATTTTTCCTTTGTATCCCGTGGTCCACCTCGTAATCCACCCAGGTGGACCATGGGGATTATTTATTCCCCGTGGTTCACCAGGTGGACCACGGGTATCCCCCCCCCCCCCCCCCCCCAAGGTTCACCTGGTTGAACCACGGGAAATAATTTTTACCCGTGGTCCACCTGACTCTTCCTCAATTTATTACGGCTCTTGAGTGTCTTCTTGAGCACAATAAGAATTGAAAATCAAAAAGGCGCAAATTAATTGAAAACTATGATTATATAAAAGATATTCAGCTGCAGTTAATTAACAACAATATTTCTTTAGGCTTCGCTTTAGAAAAACTACGCTAATTAAATGATTTTTAAAAATTACGCGATATTTAAAAATTGTAAATGATTTTTTATTCATAAGAACATCCATAATATACTGTTAGAAACATATGGCTATGCGGGTAGACCACGGGAAAAAAATAATCCCCGTGGTCCACCTGGGTGGGCTACGAGGTGGACCACGGGAAAGAAATGAAATATTTAGATCTCTAAACCAGTACCACTTAATTTTTGACTATTTGAATATAACCTTTGATTTTTGCATCATATAGTATGTCGCAGGCAATTTGTATGATTCCGCATTTTACATACGGCGTCGTCCGTTTCAAAACGTTCGCTGTTTTAAAATATGCCGATGGCAAAAATCTCATACAAATTGCCTGCGACATATACATGAGAATAATGCTGTTAGCAAGCCATGCTAACCAAGGATGTCCTTAAGCCATATACAATACAGAACCGATCTCACATTACATTTTTATAATGCCATCATGAGCAAGGCACCTCAATGATGTACACATTTTTTTCGGAACTGTTTTTAAATGAGTAATATTATTCGAATATATTCGAATAATAGTCACTTTATACTCGAATAATTGATAAAATCGAATATTCGCAGTATTCTAATATTCCAATAGCAACGACGAATTACGACATTGCAGCAAGCAACTACGTTAATGTTTGTACAATTAAATCAATAAGTGAATTCTGTGATAATGTTATTTTGTATGATTTGTACTATTATATAATGCGATTCAAATAAGAATAAGAAAGCAATTGACCTCTATCTGTCAAAAGTCGCTTGATAAGTACGGTTTGCAAAAAAAAATTGGAACCCTTTTTTAGCACTCCGCTAATTCAAGAATAAAAACCAAACATTTGTAAACAAACAATAACAAATATTGATAATTAGTATCGGTTGATATTTTTTTTTCACTTATTGAGCTTTGGCCATGTATGGTTCATAACCTAAATCGTCAACCAAATGTCACTTTAAGTTGCGTTCAGAAACTCGATTTCAAACTTTCGTTTACATAAAGGATGCATGTATATGTGACCTCTAATAGTGCATATGCAGAGATGAGCGGAATAGAAGAGCTAGCTTCTGATTAATGTTTTTTCTCAGTCTTAATAAATAAATATTATTAAAAATCGGTGGTTTCTTTTCTCAATCTTAGTAAATATATGTTATTTAAAAAAATGTGACTGTGTCACTTAATATTAGTAAATAAGTTTTATTAAATAAAAACCTTTTTTTGCTCACTCTACCTATTTGGTTTGAATTGACAGCTATGACATCATAATATGGCGCCCAGTCGCTCCTATTCTTGGTTGAATCGCATTATACTTTATACTATAATATTTTAAGCATCCAATAATGAATGCGAAAGCGCTTATTTGTATGGAGGTCCAAAAGAAGAGACATGCTGATGATATTTTAAGTACATTGCTTATTTAGTGATTACTTTTTAGCCACAAGCTCCAGTCACGAAGTCGAACCCAGAATCAGCAGTGGCAGCAATGGCGAGGAAGATCTCTGGGTGTTATGGGGTCGCCTAGTCAGCAACTGGGAAACTGAATGGAAACGTAGGAACCAGTTTGTGCGTGACATGGTTCGCCAGGGAGTTCCGCATCATTTCAGGGGCATTGTTTGGCAACTGCTCGCCGGTGTAGACACATCTCCCGAAAAGAAACTCTACGCTACATACATTAAGGTGAGAGTTTCCTGAAAATATTTCTTATCTTTGCTACAAAGTCGCAGCAAAATTGTTTGCTATTATTTTTCAAAATACCTATGTTTGGGTAAAAGAAACAATGTTCTGAAATTTTAATTTCTTGGTCATTCTTCTTGCCACATGGATAATATTAAATTTTATTGTGATGACGGTATTTCAAAATTGATTAAGTACCTAGTCTAAAAGTAATTGTTTAATTTCTAGGCGAAGTCTGCATGTGAGAAAGTGATTCGTCGCGACATAGCACGCACATATCCGGAGCATGACTTTTTCAAGGAGAAAGATGGTCTCGGTCAAGAATCGCTGTTCAACGTCATGAAGGCTTACTCGTTGCACGACCGCGAGGTCGGATATTGTCAAGGATCTGGCTTTATTGTCGGGCTGCTTCTCATGCAAGTAAGTTCATGCATGTGATTTTATTAATGTTCATTTATCATTTAGGGCGACATTTTAGCCACCCTTTTAACATAAAAAAAATCACATTGTCACCCAGATGCCGGAGGAGGAAGCGTTCGCAGTGCTAGTGAAGATAATGCAGCAGCACCGCATGCGCGATATGTTTAAGCCGAGCATGGCGGAGCTCGGCCTCTGCATGTTCCAACTAGAGAATCTGGTGCAGGAACTACTTCCCGAGCTGCACGTCCACTTCCAATCACAGGTAAATCAGGAGGGTTATGTTTTATTGACCAAAACTTACCAGTAGTGCTAATGGAGACAATGCAGCAGTATTTCATGCGCGACATTTTCAAGCCGAGCATGGCGAAGCTTGGCATCTGCATGTTCCAACTAGAGAATCGGGTGCAGGAGCTGCTCCCGAGCTGCATGTGCACTTCCAGTCACAGGTAAACCGGGATGCTAATATTGTAAATAAATATTAACCACACTAACACCAATTAGCCTAGCCCCAGAGTAGGCACTATAATGCTTTTGTTATGGGATGCTAAGGTAACAATAGAAGGATAGAATACATATAATGTACATATATGTACGTATTTTTTATCTAGAAATATATATAAACATCCATGGCTAAGGTACAAATGCTCGTATTTTTCATGCTAACATTTGCCCGGAACCTCTGAGTAGGCGATGCCATGAAACCACTCGGCCACGGAGGTCGTCAATATTTGTAAATATTATTATCATCACCCTATTAATGTCCCTGATGCTGGGGCACAGGCCTTCCCTATGGATAGAATAGGGAGTCTGGGCCGTGACCCACCACGTGGACTCAGTGCGGATTGGTGGGTGCTAACGACTGCAGATGCAGCCGGGACCAACCGCTTAATGTGCCTTACGAAGAAAGGAGGAGCTCGAGATAGTAAGTTTTTGGTCACCCATCCAATACCGACCATTCACGATCGCATGCTGAATACGCCTACCGCCTGCGCCATCAAGCTCCTCATGACTCATCCTCCATTGTATATGAGTAATATATTTTATTAACAAAAACAATAAGTACAAAATGATTTCATAATAACCTAAGCACTAGTTTTACAAATATTATATGTAGATACGTACTTGGACCTTCATCACTGCCCCTTTCCCCTTCGAAGCTAAACAAAAAGCGGTTTGACAAATATGAACTGTAAGAGACTGCTGAATGTGAAAAAAATAGCCAATTCGCCCCCTGACTCTATCGAAGCAATAATATATATATTTTAATGTAATTATAACTTTTTCCATTATATCCGGTTGAGGAATATGAGAGCCAATGATATATATTGATAACTACGTGCGATGTGGACTGTATGATGTGGTAGACTTGGTATATGTTGAAAACACGGTCTTCTCAAGTTCACAGTTTATTCGCAACCAAGCCCTGACATAAGCACTGTACTATCAAAATACACGTCATATCAAAAGAATATAAAATACAAAGATAAAGTTCTATAAAAGAGAACGGCCAACACCAGCCAGTCGCTAACATTCCCACCCCCAGTGGAACACTAAGACCCGGTGGCGACTGACTGGCACTCCGCTTCCATCAGCAGGAGCTTCCTGACGGGTCGGCGTAGTGTACCGGCTTTTGTGAAAATATCTACTACGCGAACCCGTCCGTCAGGTCCTGTGAATACCTTCGTGACTCTACCCAGTGGCCACAGACCTCGTGGTAGGGTAGAGTCCGCGATGAGCACCACGTCCCCCTCCTTCAAATTAGGCATGCTGCTGCGTGGTCCCCTTTTGCGCAGCGTTGGAAGGTATTCCCGCAGCCACCTCTCCCAAAAGTGGTCAGCCAGTCGCAGTGCTTTCCTCCAGTCTGATCGCCGAAGTAGGTCCGCATCGGTAAGGTCCGCTGGCCAGGGTGACGTAGAGGAAGTTCCCAATAAAAAGTGAAACGGTGTTAGCGCTTCCGGTGCATCCGCTGAGGAGGAGACGTAAGTTAGCGGCCTGGAGTTAACTATGGCCTCGGCTTCCAATAGTAACGTCGCAAAAACCTCTTCCTTTGGGTGCGGCCTGTCCTTGAGGCATGACTGCATAGCGTTCTTGACGCAGCGCACCAGCCGCTCCCAGACGCCGCCCATGAATGGAGAAGCCGGAGGAATAAAACGCCATTCAATCCCTTCGTTGGTCGCGAAGTCCTCTATAGAGCTGTCGTAAAGTGTTCTTAAAATGCGATCTGCTCCCACGAAGTTCGTGCCGTTGTCGGAGAAAATCGTCGACGGTGACCCGCGACGTGCTATGAATCGTCTTAGGCTCATTAGGGCGGCGTCTGATGATAATGAGTACACGATCTCCAAATGTACGGCTCTGGTGACAATGCAGGTGTATAACGCTACGTAACGTTTCTCCAAGTGCCGACATACAGAGATGGTCACCGGACCAAAATAATCAAGCCCGGTGTGGGTGAATGGCCTCTTGTGATGGTCCAACCTTTCCAGGGGCAAATCGCCTATTTGTGGTGCAGTCAAACAGCCTCTAAATCTTCGGCAGCGCATGCATTTATTTGCCACGGTTCTGATGGTACTCCTCGCTCTCAGTATCCAATATTTTTGTCGAAGCTCATTCAGAACTGTCTCGTTGAACCCATGGGACATCTTAACGTGGAAATGCTCGATAAGAAGGCGGGTTACGTGGTGACGTCCATCCAGAATCACTGGGGTCTTGACCTCTTCCTCTACGCCTGGCACGGAACGAATGCGCGTGTCGAGTCTAAGCATATTGTCTTCATCCAAAACCGGCGCCAAAGATGTTAGGCGACCGCTCCTGGGGAGGGGCTGCGAGCCCTGCAAGCACCTCATCTCGGCGGCAAAGCTCTCCATCTGTGACCGACGCAGCAGCAGCTTCTCTGCCAGTGCGATATCAGCGGCGTGAAGGTGTGAGGAGGACGTGGAGTCAAGTGGTACATCTGCGACGAGAAAATTTAAATTTGAGCGATTGGGTCGAGACAACTTGGAATAGAATTTGCGTAAAGCTTGGATAATGCGGGCGGTGGAGCGTAGAAGTCGCAGCCATTTGCTGAATTGCGACGCGTCGGGCAACGGAAATTCTAAGACAGGGGCATCCACGATTAGTCCCACAAGTTCCGACCTCAGTTCGGAGTCTGGTGGGGCATCACCTGTCTCTGGAAAAGCTAGAGTTGGCCACAGTTTTTTAGGCTCTAATAAGAATGATGGTCCGGAAAACCACCGATGCGCTAAAGTTAACTCGCGTTTTTTAGGTTTTGTAGCGTCGTCAGCGACGTTGAGAGAGGTGAGGAGCCATCTCCAGTCGGACGGGTTAGTAGTTTCCGCCAACTCTCCCAGTCTGTGGGCCACAAAAGGTTTGAATTTGCGCGCGTCACTTCGTATCCATTTTAAAACGGTGGACGAATCCGTCCAGTAGATGGTGTCCGTTGGTTTAATGTTATGCGCGTCTACAATAGTACGCGCGAAGCGAGCAGCTATATGCGCCGCCTGAAGCTCCAAACGAGGGATTGAGAGGGGCTTCAACGGAGCGACGCGTGCTTTGCTCCCTATCAAACTCACGGAGACGGATCCGTCGCTATACGTCACCCTCCAATAAGCTACACACGAGTATGCTTGTTCACCCCCGTCGGCAAATACGTGTAGTTGGGCATTGGTGAAGTCGTTTCTATGCATATACCACCGTGGGACTCGTATTGCGGCAGTAACCTGTAACTGCTGAGACCAGTCTCTAAACTCTATTTTATATTTCTCTGGAAGAGGCGAGTCCCACTCAAGACCCTCCCGCCAAAGTCTTTGTATCAAAATTCGTCCCCATATCGTAACGGGCATGAGTAAACCGAGCGGGTCGAAAACTTTCATGACGCTTGACAGTACTATGCGCTTCGTAACTTTGTCGGATGGGGACACGGGAAAAAAACGAAAACTTAACCTATCGTGGAAGGGGTTCCATAGAACTCCTAAAACGCCTATTTCCTTATTAGAAGGTAAAACGACTTCTGTATCGGAACCAGGGTCATTTTTCAACTCCTGAGGGATCTTAGAAAGGGCTTCGGGGTCGTTCGATATCCAGGAACGCATTACAAAACCACCGTGCCTATGGACCTCTACAATGTCAGCCGCTACGCTCGCAGCTTCAGGGACGCTTGAGAAACTTCCCAGGTAATCGTCCATATAATGGTCATATATAACAGCCTTACAAGCGGATGGGTATGAAGACTCCAGCTCCTTCGCGTTTTTGTTTTTCAAGTATTGAGCCATAAAGGGGCTGGAGACAGCACCGAAAATCATGGATGCCATACGATATTTGCAAATAGAGCCATTTTCGTCTGTCCACAAAAAACGTTGGGCGTCTCTGTCCTTGGGGGCGATTCGGACCTGAGGAAACATTTCTTTGATGTCTGCGCTAAGTGCCACGGGACCTTCCCTAAAACGAAACAAAATGCCAAGCAACGGCTGAAGAAGATCTGGGCCTTGTAGCAGAAGACTATTAAGGCTCACCCCTTGAGTACTCGCTGCCGCGTCGTGAACTGCTCTTAGTTTTCGTTTTTGAGGATGATAGACACCAAATATGGGGAGATACCAACGAATGGGGCCGCTTGAACCAACAACAGAATCACTAACTGGGATACGACTGTGGAAAGTAGTGGGGTCGCATTTTTCAGCGTAATCCTTACTTATTATGTCGTTTATAAAAAACTGAAACGCCGAGGCGAAGTTCGGGTCGCGAGTCATCTGTCGCTCCAAAGCTTTGAAACGGGATAACGCCTGCGAGTAACTGTCGGGAATTACCGCAGGTAAGTTCTTCCGCCATGGCAAACCTACTTCAAAACGACCATCCTCAAGCCTGCGGACCGAAGATTCGATCATGTCTACGGCGCGCCTATCTTGTTCGTTGGGCTGTTGGTCACGTTTATTAATCCCGATAGAGTCGATTTCGAATTGTGACTTAATAAGACTGTTTAGGTCATCGTTCATATGATTAACAAATAAAAGTGGTTTCGATGAAACCGAATATGCGCCATGAAGTACCCACCCTAACAATGTTTTTGAGGCAACCGGTTCGTTTTTCTTCCCTGCTCTCACCTCGCGGCTTAAGGATAGATTCCAATCCGCGGCGCCTATTAGAATGGTTGGAGCAGATTGGTCGGTAGCGTTGCCAACCGAAAGCTCATCGGCAATGTCAGCTAAATGTTCGTAACGAGACAAGTCTACGTCAGGAAGGCTCTGCACTCGCAAACCAAGTGGAGTGATAGAGCGCGCGTTCTCAATTAGATATTTCTTGCTTGTGTTACGTCCTCTAATATAGAAGTTTACGTAGTTCACGTCAACTGTCATGATCATGCCGCCTACACCCTCAATACGGACACTTTCCTTATTTCGACGTTCGGCGCCAATGCGCGTCGCCACCTCGCCATCGATCAGCGTCGCCGTGCTGCCTTCGTCAAGCAGTGCCGTGGTTTTGTACTCGCCGTCTGGACCCTCGACGACAACTGGGAGGATCTTCAACAAACCACGAGGACGGGATTGCCACTGGGACGAACCTATAGTAGAGACGGCAATGTTAGTCACGATCGAAGCGACACCGTTCGTATCGTCGTCGATCGCATTTGCGATCGTTGGGTGTAAGTTCGTATTTGTTGTTGAAATGGGTGTTGGTGTTCCATGAAGAAGGCGATGATGACGTCGTAAGCAACCACTTAGTCCACAACGTTTTGCGCGGCAGTTTCTCCACCTGTGGGAACCTGATTTTAGGCAGCGAAAACATGTCTTGGATTCCCGAACCCATTGCCACCTTTTCTCCACAGATAACTCTAAAAACCCCTTACAAGTTTTTATGTCGTGTGGACCCTGCTTGCAATAATTGCACTTCAACTCACCTTTGTTAGAAAAAGTCGCATGCACCGATTCCCTTTTCAACGGTTTACTCGAAATGCCTATGGGAACATGGTCGTAAAAATAATTAAATTTTAATTGTTGGTCTGCCTCAACCAGCAGAAAACGAGACAGTAACTCAAATTTCGACATGTTTTCGTTGCTAGGCGAATGTGAAGCGGCAAAATCGGTGAAGCGAGCCCTGGTATGTTCATTGAGCTTCAGGGCCACAGAGCGAAAAAGCTCTGGTGAGTGTAGGTGATCGGTTTGATTCAATTGTTTGACGGTCACAATGAAATTACGAACTTTATTAGACATAGTGTTAAGGTCGTGTGGAGTATTAATCTTAGCGATACTGTGGAGATCCGCGAGCTCGCGGGCTACCAGGAGCTCGGGCCGGGCGAAGTTTTGTTCTAGGGCGCGCATAACATCTTCAGGCTCGCACGCTGTCCACAGAAGGGACGCCACGGACTGGTACGCTGCTCCACGAATCGCTTGATTAAGACGTTCTAAATTTTCTGTGGGTGAAAATAAACCTTTAGTACGTTCAAAGCTTGACTTAAAAGCCATCCATTGGCTAACTTCGCCAGAGAAGACCATGAGGTCTGGTCTCTTGGGGCGAGTAGATAAGTTAGAAATGGCGTTTGCCAACTGAGAAATAGGGTCGGCAGGTGGTCGGTGCACAGGGGCAGCGTTAGAGTTGGTCGGTTGTATCGCACGGTTGACCGGAGGGGCCGGGCACGTTCCATAAACGTGTTGGGAGGCCGCTTTGGTCACGGTTGCATTACGTACCCATGATGCCGTTTGCTCTAAACTGCTTTTGCTGGATCGACGCGACCTGTTCGAAGCTTCTAGAGTGGCGAGCTTCGCCTGAAGCTCCACCTGCTCGGCCTCGTATTCAAGCTGCGCCAAGCGCCGTTCGCGCTCGGACTCCTGCCGCGCCAGGCGGCGTTCGCGCTTGGACTCCTGCCGCACCAGGCGGCGTTCGCGCTCTACGCACAGACGCATCACTTCCGCCTCGGCTGCTAATTTAGCGCGTACGGTGGCGGATGAATGGGAAGACCGCGTTCGTGCACTCATGTCGGAGCACTCGCTGCGTGCCGAAACTATGTTTCGCCGGGGTGATTTAGCGTTGCCACAATCGGATCCTTGCCGCGATGGAGGGCGTGTCGCAGACAGCGGCTGTGCTGCGAGAACGGGAGCACCCTCACCGGGAGGCGCGGTGGACGTCGTCGGCACTTCTAAATCACTCGCGGTTTTAGTTTGGCTCCGTGTTTTCACCATAATGAGCGAAATGAAAAACTAATGCGAATTAAGATAAAATGTGAAACCAAATTCGTGCAAAAAAATGAATGACGGATGACAATGTCAAATTAGAAATTTTTGAAAAATATTGAAACTTACGCAAAAGTGGATTCCGCTCGAATTACCGAATAATAAATGATCCGGCTCGAAGGACCAAATGATAACTATATATATACGTGCGATGTGGACTGTATGATGTGGTAGACTTGGTATATGTTGAAAACACGGTCTTCTCAAGTTCACAGTTTATTCGCAACCAAGCCCTGACATAAGCACTGTACTATCAAAATACACGTCATATCAAAAGAATATAAAATACAAAGATAAAGTTCTATAAAAGAGAACGGCCAACACCAGCCAGTCGCTAACATATATATTTAGAATACTATAATTGGCTTACTGTGTCATATCCTTGAAAGTTATTGTGTTTTAATTGCTATTGGTCCCAATTCTAATAGCGAACCGTACGACTCCTTTATAGTCTAATCGGTATCGGCAACACTAACAATACAATCCTCATTGGTTTCAGAGTTTCAGTACGTCTATATACGCTAGTAGTTGGTTTCTCACATTGTTTACGACTACGCTGTCTCTGCCTCTGGCTTGCCGTATCATGGATGTGTTCCTCTCCGAAGGAATTGAAATAGTTTTTAAGGTGGCCCTTGCGATGCTAACTCTGGGCAAAGACGATTTGCTGTCGCTCGACATGGAGAACATACTTAAAGTGAGTATTAGCAAACAAGTAAAAAAAAACATATCTTTAAATTAAATAATATTTATGTTGTCCTTTATATTTATTTATCTTTCGATTATGAGTAGCCTGAAAGAGATTGCTGCCTTACAATAAGGCCGCCAATATTGTGTACGTTCTGTCTATGTTTCTTATTTACTTGTGTGTATAGTGTACCAATAAAGAATGTTATTACATATTCATATTAATATACCTTTAACTTTACCGGATGACTATCAGTTCTGCTGCTCTTTTCTCTAATGGCCAGTCTCAATAATCAACCTTAAGTAAATTCTTGGGGAAAAGCTTAGCATTTGCAATATTTGTTACATAGTATCACTTTTCATTACCATTCAAATTATATCTATTTGTTATGTGCTTATAGTGTATCAGCTGACGTTTAAATAATAATGTCAGATATCTTCCTGTTTAATATAATCAAGTAAATTAATAAGATACAAATGCAATATATACTATTCTTAATTAATTAAGCATAAACATATTTTTCAGTACATCCAAAAGGAATTGCCTGCAAAAGCGGAGGCCGATCAAGACGCATTCATGGACTTAGCATACTCAATCAAAGTGAACCCCAAGAAAATGAAGAAACTAGAAAAGGAGTACACTGTGATTAAAACAAAAGAACAGGGCGATATTGCAGTACTCAGGGTGACTATATTGTGATTTTGACAACAAAATTAATGGCAATCAAACTACGTATTATATCGTGCTTCTCAGTTTTAATTAGTTTACCTAGTTTGTGTAATTTAGTTTTTCTTTCACAACATTTTTTAACAAACACCTTCTTGTGATAAAACGATATAAATGCAATGCATGTAGCATGTAGTTGTCTAATAAGCTTGCGCAGATGAGGGATTTTTGACCGCAGACTTTTATGTCCGAAAAAATAAATCGCTCACAACTACATAGAGTAAAGCACACGAGGAATCACAAGTACCGCCGACAAAAATCTCCCGAATAACCGGGGATTAAGAGATATCGTACGGGACAAAATAACGGGGATGTCCCTGAAAAAATAGAACTCATGTGATTAGGCGCAGCAACGACACACCGAACTTTGGTGTGCATTCTTTAGTATCCCTTTTAAAACGTCTACTCTTTTTCTTAAACTTAATGTTAATTACAATACAACATAAGCTTAGAATATTTGCTTCAATAGCGTGTGCTTCTTTAAATTTCCTGGAAAGAAAATGATCGCACGGCGTTATAAGTTGTCGGCGGACATATTTTCACTTCTTATATACGGACAAAACTCCGTAATCTGCGCAAGCCCAATATATTTCTTGTCAAAAAAGTCAAAAGTCAAAATATCTTTATTCAAATTGGATGCAAAATACAACTCTTTTGATTCGTCCATATTTTTTTCGCTACCACCAGTTAAGGACATTTTTTTAGCTGTGGAGAAAAACTGGCGAAAAGAACTTCACAGCGTTAAATAGTTATGTAAAAATATTAACGAAAAAATACACTGTTACGGTGTCAATACACGATTATTTTATCTTCATCATAATTATAGAAAAAGCCTGTCGGAACGTTTGGAACAGTGTAAACCCAAACAAATGATTGTCTGAAATATAATCAGACACTTTATAATAGGCTTTATTAATAAGAACTCATTTAATGGTAGTTTCAAATTTATTGCCCGCTTAATTTTTGGATATTGCTAGGGACTTTATTGTAGAAGCGTACACAAAGACCTTTAAATGAATTATTGATTTTGTGAAGCCTTGTATTAAGCGAGTGCTTATCACTATTTAGAGAAAATAATGTAATATTTTTTCGAACATACATTAAATTTTCATAAATGTTCTGAGAAGCAACATGTCATTATATCGATTTCTTTAAATATTTCTCTTAAAGAGTCTCTAGTTTTAAGATTGTAAATTGATCTTGTGATTATAAACTAACATTATTATCCAGTGTCTACGTCAAGAGAATCGACTATTGAAGCAAAGAGTGGAACTACTCGAGAAAGAGAGCTCGTCATTGGCTGAGAGACTAGTCCGGGGGCAAGTGGATAGGGCAGAGGGAGAGGAGGAGACTTTCGCTCTTGCTCGCGAGGTGCAGGCTCTGAGGCGGGCCAATATGGACGCGCAGCAGAGGCTAGCCGTGGCCCTGGACGAGATCCGCTCCCTCGAAATGACTATAGCAGAAGTAAGATAACCAAAAGTACCAAACACTTTAATGACATGCTATTCGCTTCCTCGAAATTACTGTAGTAGAAGTAAGTTAGCCAAAAGTACCATCTCTAAAGCGAGCTGATATGGACGCGCAGCAGAGGCTAACCGTGGCCCAGGACGAGATCCGCTCCCTCGAAATGACTATAGCAGAAATAAGTTAACCAAAAGTACCAACCACTTTAATAACATGCTATTCGCTTCCTCGAAATTACTGTAGTAGAAGTAAGTTAGCCAAAAGTACCATCTCTAAAGCGTGCTAATATGGACGCGCAGCAGAGGCTAGCCGTGGCCCAAGACGAGATCCGCTCCCTCGAAATGACTAAGGTTAACCAAATTCAACTTATTTTTTTACGACCTGGGTGCCTACCGCCTATCGGGATTGCTATGACTATAGCTATAGCCGCCGAAAGTTTTGAAATACCTCACGCTCATTTCTTTAAATTGTTAGTTATTACCAATCCAAAAGAAAAAAAGAGCGCGAGGCTTTTGAAAACCTTCGGCGGTCAGAAATATCAAAATGAAATCATAAACTATAGCCATAGCATCCCGATAGGTGGTAGGCTCCTTGTTTAGTGTAATGCAGTCTCTAAGGCCCGCTCCCTCTAAATTATAACGGTAGTAAATCAACCAAAAGTACCATTTGTAAGGCAATCAGCTTCAATAACAGCAGTCCTGTATTCCTCCTACTCCTTATTAGTAGCTGAGATCAACGACCTCGCACACTTTAAAAAGTATTTGAATAATTATTTTTGCTTATCTATCCATTGTCAGAAGTTTCGGAAAGTGTCTGGGCGCCAGTCATTTAACTACAATATACACTAATTATGTTCATACATTACATAATGAGTTTATTCACAAAACTAAGAAGTATATTAAAGCAAACCTTTTTCCTCAAATTATAAACCCATCAGTTTTGGTTTTCTTTCCTTTTTGACGTTTCTTTGTGCTAATCGTTTTTTTTTTTGTTTAGGATAATTCGCGGCAATCGTCCTTGGAAGGCACCGAGGGCGGTAGTAACGCTAAAGGCGAAGAGTTGGCGCGGTGTCTCCAACGAGAATTAGTTCGGGCGCGATTACACGCGGCCGAGAGAGAGGCGGCCGAACGAGAGCTGACGGCCAGAATATCCGAACTCGAGAACGAGAACAAGAGTCTGCGGCGACAACGGGTCGACAACAACGTGGCACATTTACAGGTGACCTCGTGTGTCATTATAACTGTGCACACCTGACGGCCAGAATACTTATTTTTTCTTTTATCAATCCATTAAAAAATTAAAAAGATAAAGACTTTGAGTATCTATTAAACGGGAGTAGCCGTAAGCACTTCATTCCATACAAAAGTTTCTGTCAATTCTAGCGGAGGACGAGGTACACACACACGTATAACACACTAACGAAAATATGCAATACCCACACAAACACAAGCGTGTTGTTACTATGCACGCACACGTCAAAAATCACGTCACACAAACAGAATAAACGCACATTCACACAGAAGGTGTTTTGGTGTTTTTTCTTTGGTATGTATACTCAGGCATAACTTGCTCTGAAGATTTTATCCAGAATGGGCGTGAATCCGTCATTAGCTCTTTGCAAAATAGCTCCTTATCTCGCAAAACTTCCTTCATGAGTTTCTTTGCCCTTCGTATTTCTTAATATTAAACATACGTTTCCTTATTAATAAACTAGGAATAAGCTAAGACTAGTTACGCCGTGTTTTGTTCATATCATTGATATGGCATTTTGAGCAACAGAGACAAAACATGCGAGTAAGTAATCCAAGCTTATTGTTCGTTTATTAATAAGGCGGACAAAGTTCATTAACAATTGGGAACATGTCACAAATTTGGGAAACTCACTGCGATAAGGCCCACTGAATACGAGTAAAAAGAATTTTAGGAAGGAGGGAGTGACCAAAATGGCACAAAACAAGTTTGTAGTTTAAAAAAATAGTTATCATAGTACGTAGGTAATGAACATTAATTAAACTACCAGAAGTCGATTTTCTTGCTTTAGTAAAACCCCAATAATGTCACTTACTTCATTTTTAATACCATGTTCGAAGCTTACTAACGATAAATTTTGCCATCGACTTGGTGAGCTAAGACGGCGTGGTTTTTAATTATATTTGAGTGAAAAACTCGCAATGTCAGGTAAAGCCCGAAGTGCTTTGGATAGATTTGGGACACTGAGTTTAAAGTATTTTTTCAAGTGTATGTATGTAAACAGGGCGTCCCACGGTTTGATTCCCAGTTGTAGCAGGCGGTTTTATAAAAAGTCTGTGATTGCAGTTCTAGTTATTAATAAAAATAAAATGATGTCTTCGTTCAGTAAAATATCCTATCTTCAATATTTAATATACTTTCCCTCCGAGTGAGGTAGCCGTGGGACGCCCTGTATAAGTATATATGTATGTTCGTTTCGTTTAATGAAATAAAATGTTTGTTTTATTTTATAAAATGTATTCATGTATATTTGTTTTATCAAAGTGCTATTCATAGCGGCAGATGCACTTAATTAAACTGGTTGAAAGTTTTCCAGTAATAAAAATACCAATCATTCATTTCATTCACTTTTCGTCACATAACTATGAATTTCTACCTATTATTTTTTGTCATTCGTTCGTCATTCCGCGCCTTTTTCTTTTAATTGCATTTTATACCAGAATACTAACTTTTTAGTAATTAAAAATTCTTGTATATAATAGAAAACCAAAAACGACATCATTTTCCATTTTATGAGAGTTCCGACTCGGGACACGGAACGATTCAAAATGGTAGCGGTCACGCGTTAACTTGATTTTATAAACGCACTAGATCATTGGTCTTATACCTTTTGACAGAGGGGAAATGCCTGTAATGATATCTCCCGTTGTAGATACTCTAAGGATAAAGCACGTCAAAGTTAGAGTGGAGGGATCATGACGTCACTTCTAAGTAAAAATTGTACCAAGACGTGACATCATGCGACATCACAAATCAATATATCGCTTTATTGATTTGCAAGAAAAAATAAGTGTCCAATAACTTTTCATAATCTACCTGGTAGACGAAGAAAAATACTTGTCATCGTCACTATTGTCGGAAAGGTGTCATAATACTATTATTATTCTAAATTTGAATGTTTAAGTAACATAAAAGTTTTATTGCAGGATGAGCTGATTGCCGTAAAACTGCGCGAGGCTGAAGCTAACCTCTCGCTAAAAGAGTTGCGTGAACGGGTCAAGGAAATATCCGAAGCGTGGCAGAGGCACATTCTAGTAAGCTATCTGTCATGTGTTTTGTATATTTGTGTTATCGATTCACGTTTTTGTAAATGAGGAAAATATGACTAGTTTAATAAAATAAATCAATTGACAAGTTTAGTATATTTATATTATCGATTCATGTTTATTTGTTTAGAATTTAATAAATTAGGAAAATATTACTAGATGAATAAAATGAATTAACTGACACGATTTGTATATTTATATTTTCTATTATTACTTTGTCCGCGTTAACTTTAGTTTTTTGAAAATCCATCAGGAACCTAACATTTTTCCGAGATAAAAAGTAAACTCTCTCAATCCAGGTCATAATCTATATGCGTACTTAAAGTCATCCAAATCCATTCAGTACTTTTTCCGTGAAAGAATAACAAATATCCATACAAGCTTTCGCATTTTTGATACTTTTGTGACTTTGACTAATCTAATAAAATAAACACGTTTGAACAAAATGTTCTGACTTATCAAGAAACTTTATGAAATGATGCAAATTTTAATACTGAACAGGAACACAAACAGGAGACTCCGGCACCACCCGTTCAGTCTAACGTAGTGTCGGACATAATGGCGACCCCGAAGAAACTATTGAGGGCTTGGGAGGGGCGTTCCACCGATACGCAGAAACTCGAAGAGGAGCTCATGACGACCAGAATAAGGGAGGTCGAAGCCCTTACCGAACTGAAGGAGTTGAGGCTAAAGGTATCGTCGTGAACTGGTGATATGTGTTAAAAACACAAAGAATTGATCATTAGGAATGATTACGGGGTAAAGCAAACGAAATTATATATAGTCCGTCAGTTAGATTAACACAAAATAATGGACAACTACATTTTTCTTTTGTCAACAACCAAAAAAATTACAAAGATAAAGCGTGTCAAACTTTGGCAGTGGGAGCACGCGACCTCACTTAAGTAAAAATTGTACCAAGGCGCGACGTCTGGAATGTTTCGATTATGTGAATAACTAATAAATAAATAATAAACTTTGTAAATTTTTGGTTGATGGATAAAAGAAAAAATGGACTTCATTATATTTTTGTTGCAGGATCCGAAGTTAAATAATAACACCACTGGTTAATGTATTGGAGTATAATTTCTGGCTTTCTAGCATTTACAACTAAAAATGTAATATTAATCTATAAGGGGGCGTCCATAAATTACGTGAGATGTTTAAGGGGGTCTCGGCAAATATCACGCAATTTTTTTTCTGATTGAGAAAAAAAAAATATATACATTTTTGGTCCATTTAATCCAGATTGTACAAGCTTAAGATTTAATATTAAGCGTGATCGTAATACGATTAAGAGCATTCACTAATTTCTTCGAAAGAAAATAATTCCATTGATTTAAGTATTCTATTCTTAATTTTTTATTACACATAACTCTCAGCAATATTGATTACTAGTCTTAACTAGTCGTAAATAAAAGCACGAAGCAATTTTTTTTCTTTTTACAATAACAATCCAACGCGTTTACGTAAAAAACCCACAATTTGAAAAATCTTACCTGAGATTGGGGGTTGGGGGAGGGGGTTGAATAAAATCTCACATCTCACCAGGGGGGCAGGACAGAAAATTCCAAAAAACACTCACGTAATTTATGGGGGCGTCTAAGCAAAGAAATTAGTGGGGGAGATATGCTGACTGCTGAGTCACGACACAGGAACTTATGATGTTTTCTCATTACCTCACGTTATTAACTATTTATCACGCATGCACGTGCGATGAATATTGTGCTGACGGCACATCCATAATATTTTTATTTAATTTCACTTAATAGAATTTCGTTTAATTTACCCTGTCACCATCCCTATTCTTTTATGTCCGCACTTCACTGGGCTATTCGTGTTTGCTATTTGTAAACTTGACATCAGTATGTCCTTTTCATTCTTTATAAAGAATGATACCCAAACAATTATTTTGTGTTTATATAGTTTGAATGCATAATTATCGTCCTTAACAGGTAATGGAGCTGGAGACACAAGTGCAAGTGTCGACGAATCAGCTTCGCAGACAAGACGAAGAGGCGCGACAGTTGCGAGAGAATTTCGACTCCGCTCTACAGCGCGAACGAGCCTTGCAAGCGCGCCAGAAGGAGTTCCAATACAAATACGCTGACTTAGAGACCAAGGTAAGAGCCAAAGAGATCCAATACTTGACTTGATGTTTCTTTATATAATACTAGCGGCCGCCCGCGACTTCGTACGCGTGGAGTTAAGTTATAAGTAAAGGTTCACTGCTCGTTCGCCGTAGGTGATAGCGTGATAATGATGATATGTGGTCTATATGTTGACCCGACTTCTTACTTATATTCGTGCCTGAAGTAAATTCATGCAGTACTTTTTAAATTTATCCCGGACATACATACAGACAAACAGACAAAAAATCTAAAATCTGTATTTTTGGCTTCGGTATCGATTGTAGATCACACCCCAAGTATTCTTTAAAAAATATTCAATGTACAGTTTTGACTTTCCTACCATTTTATTATATGTATAGAAGTAACGGCCGCCCGAGACTTCGTCCGCGTTACCTTTAGTTTTTTGAAAATCCCTCAGGAACCTAACTTTATTTCGGTGTAAAAAATTTCTTATGTTTCAATCCAGGTCATTCAAATGCAACTACGTGCGTACCAAATTTCATCCAAATCCGTTCAGGAGTTTTTGCGTTGTTGAGTAACAAACATACAAACTTTCACATTTATAATTTTAGTAGGAGCTCGATGGCGCAGGTGTTTAGCGCATTCGCCTTGCGATCGTGGAAGTTAAGCAACTTTCGCAATGATCCATCATTGTGACCAAAATATTTAATATCTCGAGCATCTCTGTGCTTCGGAAGGCACATTAAACCGTCGGTCCCGGCTGCATTTGCAATCGTTAGCACCCACCTATCCGTACTGGGCCCGCGTGGATGTTCACGACTCAATCTTCCTATTCCATCCATAGAAAAGGCCTGTGCCCCAGCATTCGAGACATTTACAAATTGTGATGTGAATGATGATGTACTTCGCGTAAAAACATGTCAAAAGGGTAACCAAAGGTTTTAGCCTTTAACGCTATTTTATTTCTTCGCGCCTCCGTTTTCAGTATTGGACGTCAATGAAAAATTATAAATTGCCTAATTGTGCCAAATTAACCTGTAAAAACGTACAGAAGCACGCACACATTTAACAAAGGGAAGCCTAGAGTAATTGTTATGCGGGACAGAACAAGACGGCTTAAATGACGTATGTTTTTATTACAGGCTAAATATGAATGGATGCAAGCCAACATAAAGAACATGGAGAATGCACAAAGAATAGCAGAGCTTGAAACCCAGGTGTCCGAGTATAAGCTAAAAGTAAGAGTAGTTTCTATTCTCCATTGTTTATTGACTATTTGAAGAGCCAGGTGCTAACTTTTCAACTCATAAAATAAGGCCTCCCCTTCATAGGAGTGTTATTATCAGATGCGTTATTGCGATGTCTGTTTTGAATACATTATGTATGAGAACGGCTACGAAGTTACACACTGCTGCGATTATATCAAAGACGAAATATCGCAATTACGCCTCCGATAGTAAAGCGGGATATATTAAAAGTTTGATTTCGCTCTCATAATTTTTAATAGTAGCAGTTAAATGTATTTTAAAGTTAATGGTTCTGCAGAATGAAGTCATGGCGACTGAAGGAGAGCTCCGTAGCAACAATATGGATGACTCCGAGAGGGTGCGCGAACTGCAAGAACAGGTCGGCGAATTGAAGGCTGAGGTAAAAAATGGCCCTTAACACAAAAAACACAAGAGTTACATTAGCTAAGCAATCGAAACACTGATATAATCTTTCTAATAAGTCAACGGATAGCAAATACTTTCTCTGAGTACATACTTTGCAAACGACTAGACTGATATATGGTTAGATATGCTGTTAATATGAAAAAATGTACTAACGGTCATCAGCTTTGCTTCATTAACAAATAATGTAATTTCGTTTTCCGTTTGCACATTGCATACACTAACAAATTTGGATTGTGCGGTGTCATTGTCATGATACATTCATCATAAAACGCACAGTGTGATCGATCAGCCACAAACGCTTCATGGTTTTTGTCCAAGCATACGCTTTGTTCGTTATGGGTCACTTTGTACATAGACGTGTGAATATCAAAAACACTTAACTGTAGCATATTACTATCAATTCGACAAAAAAAAATAAGATAATATAAAAAGATTATTGTATATATACAACATAATGTTTATCTATCAAAAGGTTAACTGGGAACATGTGTTTTACGGATGATTATGTCAGCACAACGCACCCGTAAAGGTTTAATATAAAGATGTGGATTTTGTCTACATGCTCACTAAGGCTCGTATTACAGAATGACAACTAAGTGTTGATCTTTACTTGAGTACAGTTAGAATGGGATGCCGCTATGTGCAATATATAGCGACATTCCTTTCTAACTGTACTCAAGTGAAGATCAACACTTAGTTGTCATTCTGTACTACGAGTCTAAATGTTGGCTTACCTATTTTTTTTTATATTTACTGTTACAGCAATTTTTTACCAAATACTCGTCCGAAAAACACATGGCCCCTGTGTAACTTTTTAAGCTAAAGATAGGTGAAAAGCTTGAGAAAATAAAAAAATGCGAACATTAATGCTGCAAACATACATCAAGTGTATTCCTTATTTTCTAAAAATACTTTGCAACTAAAAATTTTACGCAAAACTTGAAAAGTTGCTCCCTGGAATTAAAGATCAGAAGTTGTCAGAAGCAAATATTAAAATTTTAGAAACGATTGTCTATAAACCGATACGACAACATTATAAACGTCATAAAACGGGCTTAATGACAACAACAAATTCAATCATACTTTTCATGGTCTCAATAAACAGAGCCTGATTTAATATCGTTAACATTTCAGATGGATTGTCTAAAATATCGTATAAATATTCGTCTCGCTTTGACTTTATATCTTAGATTCCACGAGGCATCAACATGCAAACCAAAATCATTTGTTTTATTCTGATTAACATTATTTTATCTATATTCCGCCCCAGGGATTCCCTTTAAGTATATAATGGATACAAGACAGACGATATTTAAACATAACTAAACATCTAAACTTATCGTCTTCTGCAATAAATTGCTAATAACAGCATATCTGAAGCAGCCTTCCACGTTCCAGAGATAGGTAAATGCATTTGCGTTGAAAATGTTAACTAATGCGCTTACTAGATGTCTCTGATACAGTCTGTTTGGCACTGCACAGTTTCCGACACCAAACACCGCACCGGTCCCTGAGCCTTCGAAATGGTTCCAGTAAGTGAAGTAACATCACTCGATGTCTGATCTGTGTGCTCATCTGATAAATCCGAAAACATGTTCCATTTTGATTCTCATAATTCTTAATATGAAAATAAACATAGCGTATAACAACATATTTTCTTACATAATAAATGAGAGTAATGGTCCAATTACATTTGGTCGTTAGCCTGCATTCGTGTGCACGAAAGATTTTACTTGAATTCGGGTACCCGAAGCAATATTTACACTAGAATACGGGCTGGAAGACGGTGTCGGTTAAACAAAAGGAAATCTACCCGAAATGTAGGTGTACTCGACTCCGTTTATTTACACTAATCGTTTACCCGAATTCCATTGGCACTCTTGTTCGGGCTAACAACCAAGTGTATTTGCGCCATAAGTGTTTATTGCTTCGTTTTTTGTTGCATCATCATCTACTTTAAATTGTTCAAACCAATGGTGTAATGTGGCAAAGTCTAGAGCCAATTTTATTTATTTCCAATAAATATACCAGTTGTACCAGTTAAATATACCAAGGGGACGTGTCAAAACCTTGACTTCGCCTCGTGACGTAAACCATCGCTAGGCCACAGTCGCAAATGCGTTAATTAACAAGATTCAGCAATCTTGCCATCACCGTTATTGATTTGTAATATAATATACTCAATCACAGTTTATGTTAACTGGTTCTTGTACTAAGGTGAACACGATGGGTAAAGAGTGATTTCTTCTCTCTGTTAAGCCTCATGGTCTCCAGCTAAAGTTTTTGAAAACATTCAGCAAAAACACATACACAAAACTTTGTTTCTGAAACATGTTTCTCTACACACGCCGTGTACTGCTCACGCGGCTATCGAACACAAATAAACACAGGTCTACGTTATAATCTAGGTGCAACAAATGTCAAATTGGACAAAAGTTTCATTTAAGTTTCATACATTTTAAGTAAAAATTCATACGTCAGAGTAAATAGTTGCACTCTGTTGATCTAATGTTAAACAATATCCTGCCCCTCGACCCGCGCGTGGGTAATTTGTGTACGTGTTTACCATTGGGCTCGGAAAGGGAAATCTTTGTTGATGCAAAAAAATGTGTATTGAAAGTTCTGTGTTCACGGTTCAAAGTTTTGTGTACGGTTTTATTGAATGTTGATTGTGTCCGCCAAAACGCGCGCTAGTTGCTTTATAGTCCAGTCAATGAAGGCTTAACTTTGCCATTTTGAGTTGATCACCTGCAACCAACGCGAAAATTTCCGCAAGGGTTCGTAGATTAATATACTAAAATTGCAGGGTGCTGCATTGACGGCAAAGGGTGAAAAAAAAATGCGAAATGGTGCAAAAACGAGTTTTTCGTCAATATCTCGCGACTGGCTGGAAAAATAGAAAAAGTTTGTTGCACAAAGTTGTAGAAAATTTAATTTCCTACAAAAAAGGTATCAACTTATTTTCGCGTATCTCCCATAGTTTTTACACAAAATGCAATTAAAGGTGCAAAATAAAAAAAGAAAAATATTGTTTATGGTTTTTTTTTCCCTTTTTAAACGATCCTACGGGGCAAATTCAACAATCATCAATTACTGAAATATTTAAGGATGAGTTTTCGGCAGTCCACTGAAATGAAAATTGTCTACCGAAATGGTAAAAAATTACCACCGAAATGATACAGCCAAGAACATCGCCTTTGTAGTAGAAGGGTTCCCTATTTTGAATTTAAATAAACGTCTTTATTCTTTTTAAATATTTTTGTTCATTATTTTTTAATAACAATTATTAATGAAGAATTAATTAATTGTTACTCCTATTAAATATTATTACTAATTATAATTATTAATATGAACATTTTCAAAATAACGAACAAAGCGCGTTTAGAAAGCGAGAAGTTTATTATTAGTAAATCGTCCCCTTAGTGCCAAAACCGATTATCTGCACTTTTCCGCTACTGAACTTTTATAATACCAATCGACCCGTCTCATTAAGCCGCATCTACAGGTAAAACCCATTATGCTCTACGACGCATACTTCCTGAAATAGCTAATGAATAAACAAAATAACTGCAAATTATTTCCAAAATTCTTGATTTAAAACCTAATAAACCCATTCAAAACACTTAAATTTGTAAACGTATTAATTGTTGAAACCAAGTTTCGGATTTAAACTCATTTTTCATGTAGACACTTAAAATATCCTGTGAGTATCCTGTAATTGGCTTTGAATTGACTGTTTGAATTTTACCAGATATTTTAATTTTACTAGATGAAGTAAAAACTAACAAATCTGTCGCTTTTTGCAAAAAAAATATATATAATATGTTTGCGTTATATTTGAGGCAAGTAAAAGAGGATAGATCGAATCGATCGACAGGTGACCTTCTAGCGTACGTGACATATATCTGGGGTGAGGCTATCGATAAGCGAGGTGAGTCTTTGGCTATCAGCCTTAACATCGCCAAGGCTTTGATAGGGTCTGGCACATAAGTCTTCTCTCCAAGCTTCCTGGATACGGTCTGCCTACTCAGTTCTGTGCCTGAGTGACTGACTTCCTGCATGAGCGTCAACGGACGGCGACGGATGTAGTTCGCAGTTCATGTCAGTGAATGCCGGTGTTTCTCAGGACTCCGTCCTATCCCCTACACTCTTTTTGCTGCATTCAATGATTTAATTCCTCTTGAGAATATTCATTGCTATGCAGACGATAATACAGTGCATGCGGGATATTTTGGATACGCAGCCGTTGGACAGGTAGAAACCAAAGAGAAACGGGAGAATCTTGTCATTGAACTCAATAAAGATTTGGACTGCATTTCGGAATGCGGTACCAAGAACTTGGTTGAGTTCATTGCCAAGAAAGCCCAGATCTGCGTTTTCACGGTAAAACTAACGTTTTTTCACGCCTGAGCAACTGTGCTTGTTGTACATGACGTAAGTACGGTCTTGCGTGGAATATTGTTCGCACCCCAGAGGATGGCTCCGCCAAGTACTTTTTTGATGCTTTGGATAGGTTACAGCGGTGCGCGATCCGCATTATTGTCGATAAGGAGGTGACCAAACACCTCGAGCCTCGTCAATTACGCCGTGATGTAGCGTTATTAAGCGCGTTTTATCGACCTTGGCGCATGTTTTGAGGAGTTATTGTCTCTTAACCTACCTTCCCCTTTCCTACAGAAGTCTACACGCGCTGGCTTACGTTGCCACCGACTTACTGTGAACTACTATTCCCACTGTTCCAACGTAAACAAAGAAATTTGGTAACTCATTTCTTTGTCAGACTATCCGCAAATGGATTACTTTGCCCTCTTACGTGTGTGAAGTAGCAATTCTGCAGGCCCACAACATGAGGATAGCTGGTGTGGCAAGTAATACTGCTGTACCAGCTATCTTCGCGTCTAGACTCCTCCGTCACCTAACCTCTGGTGGAGTCATTTCTTGAGCCTATTTATAAAAAAAAATCTATAGCAAAGA